CTCCTGGGCTCAAGCGATTTTCCTGCCTCTGCCTCCCAAGTAGCTGGGACTACAGGTGCCTGCCACAACGCCTGGCTATTTTTTGGTTGCAGCTATCGTTGTTTGGTAGGCCCCCGGCTGGAGTCGAACCCACCAGCTCTGGCTTATGTGGCTGGCGCCTTAGCCGCTTGAGCCACAGGTGCTGAGCCAGCATTTCATTATTTCTAACATTTTGAATGTTTTGTCTTTTGAACAGATAACATGCCTGGATATTTCCAGTGGAGGAGGCCTTGGTGTATCTTCTAGTACTGATGGGAGCATGAAGATCTGGCAGGCTTCCAATGGAGAACTCAGAGTAAAGGATTTGGATATACTTTTAGGGTCTTAAATATGAAGGGTAGTCTGAAAAACCTTGTCCTATGTCATGGAACAATGGCCCATCTTAAAAATGTAGGACCACTGTACTTCAGTTGATTTCTGTTCTCATATTTGTTAATCAGAAAACCTTTCTCAAACTTAATGATTTGCCAGAATAGAGTGGGGCTGAAGCAGCTGACGAACCTGGCCAGTGAATATCTAAGTGGGTGGGCCCTTGGTTTAAACTCCCTTTAGTGATAGGTTTCCAAAATAAGACAGCTAGGCTGTTAGACTGAATATATAGCTGAGCTTGCAGCCTATACAGAAGATTTTAAGAAGAGATCGTAAAAGATTCCTCAGCCCTTCTCAGTTTCTCGTATTTAGAACTAAAATGAGGGAAGGCTATGAGAGCCTTGGAATTCAATTCTACATCTGTAGCTAAATCCCAGGAAAGGGAGCCAACAGCTCTAAGAACGCTACCTGGTTGACAGATAAGCTAGAGATATTTTTTAACATTTTAGTTCTTAAAACCTAGCGTGTGGGTATAGCTTGTAGGTATTTCATATATGGGACCAAAGATAAAGGAGGAGGTGAGAGAACATCAAGGGATGGACAAGAGAACTAGCATGGAATTTTCTTTTGTTTTTCCAGAGAGTATTGGAAGGACATGTGTTTGATGTGAATTGTTGCAGGTTTTTCCCATCAGGCCTTGTGGTTCTGAGTGGGGGAATGGATGCCCAGCTGAAGATCTGGTCAGCTGAAGATGCTAGCTGTGTGGTAACCCTCAAAGGTCACAAAGGAGGTATGAAGGGTAATTAATCTAAAAGAGTTTTCTAATGATTCCCAGAGAGGAAGCACCAAAAATATAGAAATAAAGCTGAGGCAGGAGGATTGCTTGAGGCCAGGAATTCAAGACCAGCCTGAGAAAGAGCGAGACCACATCTCTACAAAAAAAAGAAAAATTAGCTGGACATGGTGTGTCCCAGCTACTCTGGAGGCTGAGGCAGGAGGATCACTTGAGCCCAGGAGTTTTAGGTTGCAGTGATCTATGATGATGCCACTGCACTCTAGCCCAGGTGACAGACTGCAAGTCTGTCTCACCAAAAAGGTGGAAACAAAAGCTAGTTTAGGTGAGTTGCCCTTTCCCCAAGGAATACCAGAAGAACTGACAAGTTTAAAGAATTAGAATGTTCTGAACAATTGGGTCCAATAGCCAAAGGAATCTCGAGGAACACTGAGGGGGCTTTACCTCACATCTGACCATCTTCTGAATATGTGGGCCACAGGGAAACTTTTTAGTGGAGCAAGACATATCTCTGCATGTTGAACTTACTGTTATTAACAAGATGCATATTCAACATCAATGCGCGCTCAATTTATAAATAGCTTTGGGTCACTGCAATTATTGAATGTGACTGCCACATGAATTCTCAGTAAGTCCAAAAAGTGTTCATTTATCCCTAAGAATATATATGGTGGCCCTGAATAGCAGAGTGTTAAATCAGCTTTTATTTAAGCTTTTATTCATATAGTTGGTCCATTCTTTTGAGCTATATGAAAGTCCTGGGGTGTGGTAGGGTTTTCTGTGGAGTATAAAAGCTCTGACTTTTTCCTTGAGAAGGGAGTTTTTATGAGATTGAACAGAAATGATACATTGTACAAAAAATGACATGAAGTCAGATTCAGATTGACGTCTGCCAGGTCTTGAAAGCTCCTTCCGGCTCGGTGCCTGTGGCTCAAAGGGCTAAGAGGCCAGCCACATAACACCTGAGCTGACGGGTTTGAATCCAGCCCGGGCCTGCCAAACAACAATGATGGCTGAAACCAAAAACTAGCCGGGCGCTGTGGCAGACGCCTATAGTCCCAGCTACTTGGGAGGCAGACAGGAGAATCACTTGAGCCTAGGAGTTGGAGGTTGCTGTGAGCTGTGATGCTACAGCACTCTACCCAGGGCAACAGCTTGAGGCCTGTCTCAAAAAAGAAAGAAAGCTCCTTCCAGTTCTATAAAGTTGTCTCAAGTTTGGAGTTGCCAGTTCTTCTACAACAGAGAGTAAAAACCAGGATTCATCCCTGATAATTTAGCAGTATATCTAGACGCAGATTGAGATTGATAGATAGATAGAGAGTCACTGTCTCTATCCAGGTGACTTCCAGATTGCTTTGTGGGACTTCTTTTTTAATCTCTTGAGTTATGAGATTATGAAGCATTTTATTAGCCAAAAGCATAAACATGCAGAAAAGCAGAATTATTACCTACATTTATCTTTAATGGTTTCACATGTGGTATCTAAATAAGAGAAGCAGAAGATAGTATTGAAGCAAACATCATCCTTTATTGCCTAGGGTAAGGCTCTAGTAAGCAAAATATAAAATTCATACAGCCTGGAGTGAACACAGCCTGATGGTTATTTCAGAGAAGTATTAGAAAACTAATAAAATATCTCTGTGTAGAGATCTGTTGTGAGGGCTAACCTTTTGTAAACTCAGTTAAATCTCTGGCTTGCTTCTGCTTATAGTATATGAAAACATAATAGAAAGGGAGGCAGTGTAGTAGAGCAATTAAGCGTGGGTTATTGTTTTTTTGTTTGTTTGTTTTTGAGACAGAGTCTCATTCTGTTGCCTTGGCATCATAGCTCACAACCACCTCAAACTTTTGGGTTCAGGTGATCCCCTTGCCTCAGCCTCCCTAGAAACTGGGACTATGGGCATGGACTACCTTGCCAGGCTAGTTTTTTTTAGTAGAGAAGGAGTTCTGCCCTTGGTCAGTCTGGGCTCAAGCAATCCACTTGCCTTGGCCTCCCAGAGTGCTAGGATTACGGGCATGAGCCACCGTGTCCAGCCTAAGCATGGTGTTTGGAGACAGGCAAATTTTGGGTTAAATCTTAATTTTAAGATTAAATGCTGCTTAACAAAGTGTGCCCTTGGAAAATCACTTAACTTTTCCCGAGCCTCAATTTCCTCATGTGTAAAAAAAGAGGGTAGTATTGAATGAGATGGTACATATGAAGCATTTAGCATAAAATCCTAGTATACAGTAAGTGTGCAATAAATGTTACCATTGTTTGTATAAAATATAAAACTAAGCTTTAATTGCTGTTGAGAAGTGTGAGCCTTGTAATGTTTTAACATATTTGTCAAATGTAAAAAGCAAAAATTGTTATTTCTACTGTAATAGACATTTTCCAGTAGAAACAAATATGATCATCATTGATACACAATTGGTCCTCCAATACTGTGCATATATACTTTAAGAATTATTGTGTTCCTTTTTATGTATATGTGCATATATACTTAAAGAATTACTGTGTTCTGGCTCGGCGCCTGTGGCTCAAGCGGCTAAGGCGCCAGCCACATACACCTAAGGTGGCGGGTTTGAATCCCCAGCCCGGGCCCGCCAAACAACAATGATGGCTGCAACCAAAAAATGGCCAGGCATTGTGGCGGGTGCCTGTGGTCCCAGCTACTTGGGAG